TGGCGGTGATTCATTTTTTAAGAGGGCTGAACCAGGCTCTTATGAACAAACCACTCCCAGGCAAAACTGCTAAATTTGCCAGTAAATTACATCTTAGCCTAGAAGCTATTTTTTTCTTTGTAGAATAGGAAGGCTTTTAAAATCATTGTCAAATGTCTTTGAAGATAGAAATACTTCATAGAGATATTTTGTTCTCAAAATCCAATTAATGACTCCTGTTTTATATAAGGGACAGACCTATTTGGCCTATTCTAAGGGTTAAAGGGATTCGTTATATCAGTGAATGAATCTTTGATAACGTAGCGGCCATTATTTGATCCTATTCTACTGTTCCTTGTCTAAATATTTAATAAATACAGTTGGCACTAAATCTCTTCAGGAGTTTGTTTCAGGATGTGTTGAAGTTCTAAAGAAGGGTTTTTAAGATCTTCTGAGCAAAGGCCTCGAAGATGAAAGGCTGGGTGTTGATCAAACTTGCCCAAGTAGGTGCCTTCCTTATATCTGGAATTTTATATTTACAACTCCAATTGCCCCTGGCTAGCATAACCATGGAAATGACAGTCCATAGTAAATAGGTTGGGGGAATCTTAGTTTCTTGAAAACATCAGAGAACCAAATCCCTGAGGATAGATTGTTCTCCGTCTCTCTCTCTGGGCCTGTTCTTTGTAGCTGACGCTTGGAGAGATCAGCTTCCTTGCTGAAAAACACGTCATCATTTCAGCAATACCTGATAAAAATCTTAACCGTATTTTGCCTGAAGCTGCAAAGCAAACATTTGCATCTGAGTAGGTGGTGTGTTTTGAACAGTAGTTGATTGTTAGCAAGCATGTATGATACTAGTTAATTTCCTCATCTTTTTATGCCTCCTCACAAAGCTGTACAGTGTAATTCAGAAAATAAGACCCTGGTACAGAATCATTCAATTTGGGTGAATGGGATCTCCATCTTGCAAATTCTAGTGCTCCAGATGTTCATATAACTGATTGAGACAATATGTAGGGGGGGTTGAGCATGTTCTGTTCTGCATAGGTACAACAGCTTCATTTTACCTTAAGTTTAGTTGTAACAATTGCAGGGATAGCCATGAATTAAAGGGTGTGAAAAAAAAGTCAATATGGCAGTCATTGCCATTTTGAATATTTAACACACACCTCCTCTTTGCAGATGCCCTTCCTGGCTGCTAGTTGGGAGACACATCTACATTAAGTAGACTTTCCATTAATTTGCATCAACTTGGTACAAATTAATGTTTTGCAGATTAACATACTATTTGTTGCACTGCTTGACTGATGAGAACTTTTTTTAGTTATGTTTGGCAATCATTTGTTCTTCAATTCATGTAGAAATATTACTCTTTGAACCGCCACCCCCTTCCTATTACTTAGGAGTGAATTGTTGGATTTAAATTCATTATTGGATTAAGTGTTTTCATTTCTTTGCCTTTTTAATTATAATGGAAGGAATGCACTTTCCTTAGTCACGATCTGAATCTGCTCTAGGAAATTCCAGAATTCCTATTCTGGAACACATGCAAAGATCACTGAATCAGCATAAACAAGCCTCATCAGATTTTTTTAGACTCATGAAACTGGGGTTTAAGATACAGAGAATAAAATTTCAGCTGTTAAGCAATTTGTTGTAACTAAATCACACTCTCAATCTCATTTAGACTCACAAGTTGAAGACTATTTGCAATATCAATTTCTCACTACCTTATTTGTGTGTTTTGAGAAATATACCAAATTAATATTTCAAGTTCTTTCTGCATTCCTAGTATTGGAAAGAATTAATCTGTAACATGTTCCTACCTGCTATAAAAACGATGGGTGTGGCTTACTATGAACTAGGCATAAATATCTCCTATACCTAGCAAAATATTAAGAAATTCAACATGTATTGAGTGTTCATACATGGCAGTGCTTCTCTCTTCCTTTCACTTGGAATTTGAGGCATTTAAAAGGATATAGTTTAAAAGTGTTTCAATGTTCTTGGGAATCCAAGAGATTTAAACGTTCTCTTCAGCAGTACTTCTAAAAATCAGGGCTGAGGTTCAAGAAATTTAGTGGTGCAATTGGAGAGCTACAAATGTTCTATATTTTGAAGGGCTATTGTACATACAACCACAGCTTCTTAATTGTGATGAGACTTGCAATATGTCACTCACAAGACATTATTAATCTTAAAATGAGTACCCTTTTCTAGCACAGAAAAACAACAGTCTAGGATTACCTGGCAACTAGATGAATGCACACATTGTTCTGGCTTTTACAAATGTTGTTTTACATCTCAACTTGCCAGACTTATGCTAAATTAATATTTCAATGAGTCATGATTGTATTTGAAGGCTTTGACATTTTTCCCCAATAAGCCATTTTTTTCGCTTTGTATCTGATATATTGAATATTCCCAAACATTTTTGTGATAAAAAATTGTGTATGTTTTTCATATTGTAAGAATTGGAATGTTTCTTAGGGAGAAAAACAATTACTTACGCTTTCCAGTTCCTTTAAAGCTGGCAAAGAAAGCTTGTCACAGGAAAAAGCAAAAAAAATTCTCATAATGTGTAGTATGTATGCAAGAGGATGACTGCATTAGTTTTAATTTAATCTGCATATAAAATTACTTGGAATATACTAGAAATATATTTTCTTAGTGGGAAGTATATAAGCCTTATAACATTGCTCCATTGGCCAAGTATATGTTAATGTTTTATTTTACCACTGCAAACTGTTTTTCTGCAAATTAGATCAATAATATGGCTATGGAGTCATATGAAACACATGCGTGCGTACGTGCGTGAGTGCATGTGTGTGTATGTTTGTGTGGTATTTATTGCATTTATCTAAAGCGACATGTCCAAGCCACACATGGCCCTGGATAGCTAATAATGCGACCCCACAGGTTCATACATTTTTAACATCATATGATTATATACATGAATATATATTAATAATATATATATTTTATATGCAACCCAAGACAATTCCTCTTCACTCAGTGCGACTCAAGCAAGACAAAAAGTTGGACACACATAATCTAAAGCAAGACCAATAAATAGGAACAAGTCCTAAATGATTTAATCTAAACTTCCACATTGCTTCTCCTATTTGTGTAATTGTTACTTTTTGACTTGATCAAGATAAAAAGTTGTTTTTTTAAAAAAAAAACTGTTTCTTTCCAAGTGATCAGCAACTGATATTTCAGCAGTTCCTTTGTTTTCCATCTTAGTTATTTGCCAGCGTCCCTGTTTACTAGCAATAGCAATAGCACTTACTTATATACCGCTTTATAGTGCTTTACAGCTCCTCTCTAAGCGGTTTACAGAGTCAGCATATTGCCCCCAACAATTGGGGTCCTCATTTTACCCACCTCAGAAGGATGGAAGGCTGAGTCAACCTTGAGCCTGGTGAGATTCAAACTGCCAAATTGTAGGCAGCTGGCTGCAGCAGAAGTAGCTTGCAATACTGCACTCTAACCACTGCGCCACAGAGGCTCCAAATTGCACCTTTACTTTACTAATTGCAACTTTACAGGAGTGAGGACTCAAAGTTTCTTTCTTATTTGCACAAAGTCAGGTATTAAAGCAAGTTTTAAAGATGACCCTTTAGGTCTTCAGTTTTTGTTCATCTCATCTTAATAATATGAAAAGTTCAAATTGCTTACTGGAAATCTAAAAACAAAACAGCATTTTTGACAGCATGGAAATATCAAAATGCAAGAAAAACGCATGTTCCAAAGAATCCATATTTGTAAAAATTGAGGTATCAAATCAGTGCTTCTAGTGCAATTCTTGAGTAACAGAAGATCTCAGGGCAGACACAAAAATATTTGTAGTAGGTTCAGAGAGGAAACGGTATATGATTTCACATCATAAATTTCACAGCCATAGGATGTGACGATGATGGGGATAAAAACTCAAATAGTTTTTTAAAAAAGTTTTATTCAAATACAGGAAGCTATGTTTAGCAACAGGTATTAGTTGAGAGGATTCAATACACTTTGCTTTTTTCATTCAAACTTTACCTTTTGCCAAAGCGTCTGGCCAGTCCCTAATAATGGTGAACCTTGGTTCTCATACAGTCAAGAAGTCATTCTGTTCAAATTAACAATAGCACTTAGATTTATATTCTGCTTCAGAGTGTTTTACAGCCAGCCCTCTCTAAGAAGTTTATAGAGTCATCATATTGCTCCCAACAATCTGGCTCCTTGTTTTACCTATCTCGGAAGGATGGAAGGCTTGAACTGGTCAGGATCAAACTGCTGGCAGTCAGCAGAGTTAGCCTGCAATACTGCAATCTAACCACTGTGCCACCACAGCTCAATTACAGTGTAGCTGCCATTCTAGGCCATTACTCTTTATTATAAGGATAATATAGAAAACTTCACACAGATGTTGATTGTGTTATACTAGAGAGAGGAAGAGTTTCCAGATTCCTTTCAATGAGGGGATAATTCATCAAGATGTGTTCAACCTTCTTCCACACTCAAATGAATGCAGGAGGGAAATTGCCCATTCTCTAAATTAGAGGAAATGTTTTCCATGTGTGTTTGGGAAAGATATTATGCTGTGACCCAAATTAGATCATCTTCATGATGTTAATTTAAAAAGAAAGAGACCCAAGCTGAAAAATGTTCCATTTTTTAATCAAAATTAGGTATACAGATTGGTTTAAGTCAGATAAAAATAGACATTTGTTTCACATTGTACAAGCCATTATGTAGCTCAAATGTTTTAATACATGATTGCTACATATCTGTTTTTTGAAATCTCGTACTATATTCAAATAGCGTCAGACAGAAATTGACATCCAAGAGGCAGTTTATCTTCCTTCTGAGAACTTACAAGTTTAAAGTGCATAGAAATAGTGTAGAACAGCTGAGAGCCTGCTGTTTGTTTTAAACAGCAGAATTACACAACCAGCCTCAGTGTAAACTATAATGCTAACAAAACTGGAAAACAATCATCCGTGCACAATACAAAGCTTGATACGTCTACACAGAGAATATAATACTCTGCTGTAGCAAATCTACATTGCCTACAACTGGAAGTGGGTGGTTCTCTATCAAATCTTAACTGCTGCATAAACTCCTTTCTAGTGAGTAGAGGTAATAATCCCTTGCTGAGTAGGAATTATCTCATCAAACTATGAACTCTGTGAACTTCGTTGTTGCGTGAGCATTTCTTTAAAAAAACAAAACAGGAACAACAGAACAGGAACAAAAAAAACAAAAAACCACAGAACAGGAACAACCACCCACCAACTAGGAAAGTAAATTGTAAAGTGGATGGGAAATGTTGTGCAATCACTGTTTTAATTTAGATATGTTTGGCAGAAGGATAGATTTGTTTCAGAGGGTCCCATCCGTACAAAGTAGTCTACTTTATCACCTCTAAGTCCCAACCCTGAGTTGTGGAATGATTCCAGTTAATTCTATTGAAAGTTTTGTGTATCCAATTTTACCTCTTCCAGGCAACGATTCCCCCTCCCCAACAGTCAATGTGTGACCCAAAATTTTATAACTATAGCCGTTCTGATATTTGAACAGGGTAAATTCTTCCCACAGACTCAACATGCAAACTGACAAATCAAGCCTACAGATCTCCTACATTTGCATCCTTCCAACTGAAAAATATCGTTAGTAAGAAATGCTATGGTCAGCTAGGAGATTCTCTGTTTAGGAGTCTGTTCCCATTGAAGCCAACAGAATGACTATGTAGTTACTATTTCAGGAACTCTGCTTAATTCAAGGTTAAGCAGCTTAGAGTTTTAATTGAACTTGAGTTCATTTGACTAAGTAACTTTTGATATAGACTGATCAGAAACCTGGGATAATTCTGATAAAAAGTTACAAATCAGCCTGAGTAATCTTTTCAAACTTATAAATACTTGGAAAATGATAAATCACCTCTTTTAATTCTATACAAAGTAAACATAATGTAGTTTTAACCCAAACCCCGAGCAGTCCAATTTAGCAGCCCAAAGTAACAAAGAAAAATTAACCTTGCTAAAATGCATTAGTCATCCCAAGATTTATCATAAATATTTTTAAAAAGTGGAAAAATACAAACATAAACCTCTTAGTGTTGATGGTAAATGGGACAGCTGCTTCATTCAGTTCTCACTATTATACCATGAGTCTTTCTTTAGTCAAGAATAGTAGTTAGTATTATAATATGCATAAAGAGCCTGTTTTTCAAATCAATTAACATCTGAATTTAGGAATTTCTTCACAATTTGAAACACAATTAACAATATACATTTCAAAAAGTTAGTACCTCCATCTCAACTGTAGCAAAGTAAACAAGTAAACATTAATTTCATCGCAAGGTTGTATTTGGACATCAGTAGTATTATTTGCAAGCAAGTCTTCGCCAACCTTTGCCTTCCAGATACGATGGGGAAGTTAGAAGCTGTATAGTGTCAGGCTGGCTTAGGCTGAATTATTGCTCAATGCGACTCTTAAAGACTCAACCCCCTCCATTCAGACTCGGGAAGGACCTTCTTTTTAAAGTGTATTGTACTTTATGAAGGAGATTCTGCTCAAATAGTAGCAGGAAAATCCTGTTCTTTCTCCTTTGGCTGCTCTCACGTGATAGTACTACAAATCCCAGAATTCTTTGTTATCACGCTTACTGGTTGCAAAGACTGGGAAATCTGGGGTTGTAGCCCAACACATCTTATACAGGCCTGATAGGGAAGACTGCACAAGCTTAAGTAAGTAAGACAGTAAGATCTTTAAACAAGACCATTAGGGAAAAATATATACATGGATTAAAAGCTGTTTGCCCTCCATCTTGACCAAAAGCTCAGGAATGAAATGTTCTTGGTTCTTAATATGATCTCTCTCTCTCTCTTGATATTTATTCCTTTCCTGAGAGCACTGTTAAGATATCAGGAAAGATTTTGCAATGCTTTGTTTGACGAATGGGGCAGCCAACAGAAACATAGGTAAATCATTAGTGAAAATGACAGAGGGAGCAAAATAAAGCCAATTATAACACACAGTCACATTCTTAGCTGAGCATATACTTTTTAAATGGGTGCTTATTTAATATTTCATACCGGGAAACATTCCTTGCTAAAGGAAAATGTTCATATTCTCATAGATAAGTAATTTGACAGCCAGAAATCGTTCCTTAATATAAACATGCCTGCCATAAAGAATGGCAGGAAATACAAATGCTATCTTGTTTGAGCAAATGAGGATTAAGCACAAAAAAAAAAACCCAACGGAAAATATTTGTAAGTACTGAATGTAATTTTTCTGTTCTAAATGTGGATCTTGATCTTATGAGCAAGCAGTCTCTCTGCAGTTAATGACTAGGCTTCATCTCTCCATTATAATCATGCAGGTCTTCCTGGTTTTGACTCTGATACTTAAAGAGTCTGGCCATCTATCCACTTTTGGTAAGTCATTGGTTATTTTTGCATTGTCTGCACCTTAGCTGGGAAACAGCTCAGCCTGGCATCACAGAGAGCTTTTTGTTGGCACAGAGGCCACTTGATATGGGAAGACGTTTCCAGCTTTGCCTATTTACATGATCAACGGAAAGGAGTGGTCTATGGGTTTCAATTAATTAGATGGGATATTTGCCCCCAGATTCTAGCTCCTCTTCATTCACGGATAGTGATTTACCCAGCATCACAGATAAAGTTTTTACTCTAGGTCTGAATACTGCCCTGACATATAGAAAACAAGCTTGACAATGATTAGGATTTAAGGAGGGGTTCCCCCCTCTTTTTTTTTTAAGGCAGGCAGATTCTTCTCCCACCCATAGCTTTATTGCTTCTACAGAAATTTATTTGTGGCTTGAAGCACAGAGTGTGGACAAAGATGCATTCCTGAGCTCCAAAGAACTTTTAACTAGCATGCTTAGATATCTGTATTCCAACTACAGATGCTAGCAATATTCTATTAAAGGGTAATTTATGAAATGTAATTTTATGCCATTAGGTTTATTAACATTAATTTGGTAAGCCTCAACTGGAGTGAAATATTAGCTTCTTGGTTAAATTATAACATATCGTAGATTTCAGCAGCATACAGAGAGATCTCCATTGAGAATGAATGCAGTACTAAGATAATCTATTTTTATCCCGAGTGTGATTGTTGGGGATTAACAAGGAAAAATGCACATAAGCTTTTCTCATATACATCCAATAATTTTTAAACACCATTATCACAATTTTAACACTGTGCAAAATTGCACATACATTTGGATATGTTTACAAAGTAAACCATAGAAACGCACTGGCCCTGATGGCTACTTGTTCTGCAGTAGACACAGTAATTAATTAACTGCCTCTGAAGGCGGATCTTCAGTTAGCAAAGTTCTTGTGACTCTTACCGTATGCCCACAAGCCAGGAAGGGAACTCCGAGAGCAATTAAGCACTGCCAACTCTGAAAAAGAGAGAAGAATCCCAAGTTAATGGTGCATTTATTAAAAGACTCAAAGATTTTTTCCCTTCAAGCAAATCAGAGAAGCACCACCATTATCCCTCCTCCTGCTCTGTTCTATGAAGCCCCACCGTCCCTCCGATTCTGCTCCATCTCCCCTCCCAAAGTCATTTCAGAGAGAAATGTCAACAGACAGGTTTTAAAATATGAGCCAGAGATGACACATAATTCTGATTCTGGTCAAGGAGAAGAACATTGTCAGAAAAAAAACAAAAACAGCACTTGCTATATATGCATGTCAAGAAACAAACCTGATCTAATTATTTCACCCTACGTTCCCTGGGAAGATTTTTATGCTCTCCCTGTCTACCCTAGGAAGGTTTTTCCTACCAGCTGCAAATCTAAAAATCATCATCTATAAATAGATGTTTTTTATTCCTACCAATTTCCTGGTCAACCATACGGATAAGTAGCTCTCTGATTGTGAATGAACTCATACAAATCATTAAAACTATTTTTAATCAAGTTTAATACACATGAATATTACAGTCATCAAACAAAGCAGGCCTCTGGCGTTCCATATGCTGATGGATAAAACTTACTCTAGTCAGAGTACAATGCTAGGAGTTGTAATTAAGCTCTATTTGCCAAGCTACAGATTTCTCAACCCTGCCCTGACGTTTTGGATATCGCCTAAGCTGTTTCCTTTTCTCCAAGCATGTGGTTTTTTTGGACACCAGCTGTCTTCATTTCCAAGCTGTGAGCTTTCTGGAAGGTCACGTGCCTGGCCCAAGTAAAACAAATGGTAGGCTAAATGGAGGCTCTGCTTTGACCTCGCAAGATAGTTCTTCTCAAAAGACTTCTACTCTACTACTGGTAGTCCTTGATTAACAATAGTAATTGGAATAGAAACTCCAGCACCAAGCAGTGTGGTCATTAAGCATGATGTCATGCAACAACACTGCTTAGGAATGGCAGCTCCAGCAGTACCAGCTGCCATTGTTAAGCAAGGACCCCACATCACCATGATTTCTGACTTGCTGTTGGCTTCTTCACTGACTTAGGCTTGTGGGAAGCTGTCAAGAAAGGGCACATGATGATGATGCAATGTTATAACTGCAGGGTGATCACTGAGCAGTCAAACTGTGATTAGGTGATCAGACAATATTAACTAGGTGACATTCCTAGTTATTCTAACAAAGAATGTTTATCCCTTTTTCATGATTCCACTGGATTTCCTTGAGTTTCTAGGCTGACAATTACAACCAAACTGCTTCTTTGATCCTTATTTTGTTTGTTATGGGTATATACCACCAAGAGTGAGAAACATGGAGGAGGAGGGGAAGCAAGCAAAAGAGATTGCTTCACAATTTCAGCTTGTGTGATAAACCCATACATTTCAGTTGATGTTACTGAGAACTGGCTCTAAATTGTATGGCTCCCTCCCTGTCCCTACAAAGCCACATCCTGGCTGTTTTTTTTGAAACACTTGACAAGACGAATGCCCGGAATGGGGTTTAGAGGTTGTTCACACAAGGCCATTGCATTATTTCTAAAAGGAACAATGTTTCTAACACAGCCATTTTTTCCTAGAAGTACATGTGCTGCCTTATCTTCTCATACTTTGCACAATTCTAGCTTATTTCATCTAGTGAATATATGTTTGTGAAAAGAGGAATAAGTAGAAAAGTAACTTTAAGCTGACATAATTAAAATGTGATCAGACTTATATTGGAGTG